AGGAATGACAAAACTTGTGAAATTTTAGGTACAGCTAGTGCAATTTTGCATGCAGCTGAAAGAGGTCACCTTAAGATTTACAAACAAACCCTCGTTTTGAATTAGGAGGAGGCTATGTGCGTGGTTAGCAGGTGTGTAGAGAAGAGCAGCTTAGAAAGCACTGAGAAGGAAATAATGACTTCGTTTTGTTGGTTCAAATCTTTATGAGAACTCCCCTAGTGAAAGTGCTGCACAATATGATTTGCAAAGTAACGTTAGGGTAATACCGAAGTTTCGAAGGACACTCCTGGAGGCAGTGTCCAAGCAGGAAATCAAACTTGAATGTTCATATTGAGTGCTCTGAGAAGGCAGGAAATAAGGAGGGGAGAGGAGATGGAAAGTGTCCATGTACAACATGCCTGGCACTTTTTGGAGAGTCACTTCTGAGCAACAGATGCTGTCAGTGCCCGGCATTTCAGGTTCTCTCTTGTTCCAGTGTGGTTCTTGTCTCCCTGCTACTGTGACTGCACAGCAGCTCTGGCACCAAAGCCTGACAACAGGATTTTCTCTGTGCAAGAAGCTCCAGGCTCCCACTGTACAGACACAGTCTCTCAAGAATTGCCAAGATTTAGTTTTATTTAGGATTAGAAATACCGAACCACAGAAAACTGTTAAAAGTAACAGAGGTTGAGGCAGCCCTGTAACAGGAGGGTACGCAGATGGCAATCGGGTGTGGAGCTGTCAGACAGCGGGAGGCATTGCTGTGCCTGTGGAAAACACAGGCACACACTGCTCGGAATTGCATGCTGTGCATTTTTCAACAAAGCAGTGTGAGGAGGCAGTAAAATGGTTACAATGTATCAAACCCTTTATAAACAAAGGTTGTTGGTGGTTTTTTTTTTAACCATCCCCGATTTTGGTGCCAAGAGAGAGTTTTTGCTTTCAGCCACTCATATTTTACAGATTTGTGTTGGGGTAACAGCGACCCCGAGCAAACCTTTTAAACTGGCAATAAACTTTTCTTGAATTATAACCTTTTCTCTTTATTTCACATTCCCTTGTACAATAAAATATACTTTTAAAAAATCACTATGTATCAATAAACATCTGTAGAGAAATTACATTAATAAACTTATATTTTCCTCTCTATATACACGTTGGCAATGTCAAAGCTTCAAGATTCACATGGAGGTCTGCAAGACCAAGGAAATGTACACAAATAACTTATATTTAGGAAAAAAACCCAAAAGCTGAAGAGTATTTTTCCACATTATTGTGGGTCACAGTATTTAAAATATTTTTTTTCTAGTTATTCTTCACAACCACATTGTCTCAGCAGAGAATGATGAATCAAACTGAAGCAGAAAGAAAAATCAAGTAGCAGTTACTGATTTCAGTGCAGAACTAAGTCAAGTAAGGAAATACGCTCACTTAATTCTTAAGGAATATACAATAGAGCGGAGACTTCTCCAGTGCTAAGGCTTCTTCAACATTTACTCTTTAAAACTATCATCCTGAGACGGGAAGATTCCAGTGGATATCACTTTTCAGATTTCAAATGGAATGATTCTAGTGCTGAGCTAAACCATTCCTCAGTCTGCACGTTAGACTAAGTGGTAAAATATACATCCATCTTGATGCCACATTCCTACTTAATACTTTTTATGGCCCTGAAAATGGAAACATTGGCATCCAAACCCAACATATTCCAACATAATAAAAAGGCACTGAGCTATAGTACTGTATATACAGTAGCATCTGTGTTTGCATAGATCAACAACAACTTTGAACGCTGCAAGGAACTAAAACGCAACCAGTAACTAAGAGGAAACACAGTAGCAGGAATAACCAGCATAGGGCAAGGAATCTTTTACAAAAAAGTGTTCAGGTTGTCAGCTTCAGTTGTCCTTCATAAATTAAAAATGTGTCCTTAGAGAAGTGTTTTCTGATCGAAAAGCTGCAGGTCAAAACGGACCCAGACTTCACCTGTGGGAACTTCATGCAGCAGTAAGTGTTTAGTCACGGGGCCTTTGCTTTCTTGTTCCATTCTGATTTTTGCTACTGGAACTTCAGTGCGACCCAAAAAATCTGTTGGGGAAATAAATAAGAAATTTCATGAAGCAAAGACATTAAGCTTAGAAAATCTGAATGTGTCAGATTAAGCAGCAATGCTGCATAGTTTGTATCTGGTTCCAGAGCACTGTTCTCATGCTTCCTGTTTGAGTAGCCCTCAGCCCTGCGAACATCAGCTAGCTGTGACAAAAAGTGTCTTTTCAGAAGACAAAAATGGTATGGAATCAGGATGGAAAACATGCCTTTGTGTCACAGTTTGATCTAAGGGCTTTACAAATACCGTTCCCTTTCAGAAACACAATTTCAAGTGTTCTCCTGTCTCAGAGCTGGAAGGTCAGAGTTAAGTGATGGAACCTGTTTACAAGCCAGCTGCAGTGCTATAAAGACCGTTAAAAAATCAACTATTTTGGCTCAATCAACTTTTAATTAGGCTTATATATTATACTTTTCACAAGACCTTGAACAAATACTGCCACTAGTAGATTTACAGACCTATTCAGAAATTATGTACCCACTTTGTACGTAATATAATATAATATGTAATATATAAATATAAATGTAATATCTAAAATATAAGCATCTTTGTGTATGTGTGTGCATTGAAAGGTTTACCATGAACTGAAAAAATAGAGACTCTGATGGGGAGAAGTCACCTAGCAAAGCCACATTACCTCACGGGAGAAAAGACTGAGCTATAGTTACACACAGGGCAACTCTGGTCAAGCAGGACCTCGCAGATCTGCAATCATCAGCTGAGTGTCACCGCCCTGAAAAAGCACTTAACCTTTTAAAGAGTACAACAAACTACTGACTGCCAAAACCACGTTCAGTTTCTAAGCAAAAAAAGAAAGTCTACTGAATTGTTGCTATGCAAGTATAATCTAACACGGTATTTTCAGGCATCTATAGTGAGAGAGACAAACTTCTGCTTTCAATTACTCTGCCTCCCCAGTCTGACAAAATAATAATTCTCTGATACAAATCCCAAGTGAGATCCGATCTGACTGCTCAGAGCTGTTGGCTCTCAAGGGCTATTGAACCTCTTGAGTAAGGAGGCACTGTTTTTACACAACATTTCTCAGGAGGCAGTCGCACCTACAGGCTCGTGGAACTGCTGGTGAGGAACTGCATACCCCAAGTCACAGAAAAAGCCGCCTTAGCCTAAAACAAATGTTCACACTTACCATCGGGTGAGAACTGATCTCTGTCAAACATGGTGATACACAAGACGTCCTGATACAGATCCTTAATGAAGAACTGGCAGTTGAAGTTCCACTTGGGGTTCAAGGTGTCCTGCAGGGTCCTCGTAGTGTAGCTCTGAGAGCCCAAGCTGATTTCACAGTATGGGTTGCTCTTCCCTGAACACAGAACAAACACTGAGACACCTCTGCAGCACAGAAACCTCCCTCCCCATCTGGAGGG